TTTTAGGAGGGGGGGCGGGGGGGCTGGGATGGGAATGTGTTGTTTCTTCCTTTTTTATTTTTTAAAGTTTCTTCTACCTAGTGGTTGTTCCTGTGGGTACTTTTGTATTTTCTGACTCTTCTACTTCTTGTAGGCTCCTAAGTGTTGCTTTTGTCCTAGTTTGTCTTAGGCAAAGTATCACTGTTACAGTGCTGACCCTTCCAAAAATTGGGGGGGGGGGTAATCAGGTCAGCTCAGCTTTCTTCTTTAAAGTCTCTTTTTATTCCAACATATTTAATGATATTGGTGGTAGTTCAATACCCTAATAGAACAGGCTTTTCCCCCTCAGTAAGACAGCTTCTTAAGCACTCAGGAAATAGTCCGCTCAGCACACAAGGGAAACTTTTAAACTCTCCGATTTGAATCTGAAATTTTTAGGTAATGGTTAAGTTCATAACTGACTGTTCCACTGTCCTCTATCTGTGTCATGGAGATCCCTGGCCATCACACGAGGAAGGGAAGTTATTGAAAAACTAGAATTCCTTGGGTTACATCCCTTGATGTTCTGTACGTGGTTTATATTACGCCCTTCCCTCTTTAAAAAAAAACCCCAAAAAAAACTGTGCCTCATATTATAAATTAATAGATAGTGGTTTTGTATTTCTGTCAGATAGTTATAAAGTAATTTGTCCGGTTCCTATATATTTTTAATCGACTTCTTGTTTTGTTTTGACCACTTTGAAGTAACACTTTCACTTTCACGGCCTGTGCTAGTTGAAATGCTATGTTACATCAAGGGGAAATAATTCGGTAGGAGATAATATTAGTAGAAGTATTTAACGACTTACCTCTCTTTGACTATTTTTTAAAAAAAATATTGTACATATATAATTTAATGATTAAAATAATATTGACCACTTTTTATGTACACAGTGTGGTTTTAGACCTTTTTAATAAAAGTTTTATGTTTCCCCTTTACGTCATGATGTTACCTACGAGGATCAGGTGGGTGGTTGGAGGGCGCCACTGGTAGGTCCTACTACTTCTTTACTTCTCTACTTTCCCTGTTTTTTCTGCCTGTCTGTCTGTCTTAGTTCTTAGTCTTACTTTTTCCCAGCACTAAATGACCGTTATTGTGTCGATCTGCTTTACTCAAACAAACCAACGAACGAGAATCAGTCTTGTCTCTCATTTTGTTCTGATGTGGTCTGCTTCTTCTGTTTATTTTCTTTGTCATGATAAAACCTTTGTTCCTGATCTATTCCCGCTGAAATCTGGTTGTTTCTGTCTGCATCTCCCTTATTTATCCCACTCATTACCCAGACCCACACAGTTGGAGTGGGTGGTTGGAGGGCGCTGCTAGTAGGCTCTTCTTCTTTTCTTTTTTTTTTTCCATTTGTTGTTTCTATTTGTCTTACTTTTGCGCGAAATGACCATTATTTTGTGGATGTTCTTCTTTTAACTCTTAAAAAAAACCAATAAAAAAACCTCACTGTTGGAAAGAGTTTGTGCCTTTTGAAGGGGAGAGGATAACTTTTATGGGAGAGAATAGAAACAACACTTTTGGAAATTGCCTGCCCAGTTAACACTTTGTCTTTCCGTTTGATCGCAGACAATTCCGTGAAGCGGCGGAGGCGGCCATTGAGAACAAAAGTGAGGAGGACTTCGACTACGTCTTGTCGCGGCTGGGTCTGGCCGATCGCCAGGTGGCCGAGACGGTTCGGGGGATGAGGGGTCAGCTGATGGCCAGGAGGTGAAAGGTCAAAAGGTCAACCGAAGAATGCTGGGATGTCGTCATGAAGGAAGGCACTACTCTGCCGTAAGCTGTCAAAAGGCCTGGTTTTCTTGGGGGCAGTTTCGGGAAAAAGAGGGGGGGGGGTTGTCAGCATAATCATTTAAAAATAGAGTCATTCTGAAATTTGAATTCTAATTCATTCAAAAGCTAGTCACAGTTTCAATTTGATTTTTTTTTCACACAATTAGGGTAGCTGATCAGGCTTTTGATTTAGCAAATTAAAAATGTTGGGACCAAAATGAAAAAAAGGCATTTTGTCAGCCTACAGCAGTACTGCGTATGTATGAGGTGTTGAAATATTACATGCAGTGCATAGGGATGGATGGCTCTTTTTTCAGATTACTTCTGGAATTATAGTCTTCAGTACCCGTTAATTTTTGTTGGAAAATATTTGTCCAGTTTTATAGAAACAGTGTAAACTTCTTGGATTTGGGGGG